TTCATTAATATATTATTCAGTTCAGAAAGCAGCAATTGTCCCCATTTCAGTTTTGACTATCCTCAATGATTTCCTCTATACGGACCACAAGGCTTTCCATTAAGCCATATGTGACCAGGGCACACTGCAAGACCTGCAAATGATATGTTTAGAATGTTTTATGATTTACTGTCCCTATTTTAAAAATGAATTCAGATAAGTAGTACTGATAATCTAACCTTATCCTGTGCCTCACATGGCATGTTGCCAAGCATCTCCGTTTTCACAGTCAAGCTCTGAACAGATCTCTTCCCAAAGGCCTCCTTAAATTCTGTGGGGAAAAAAATACTACAAGTCAAATTCCATTTTCTTCACTATATAATAATTACCATTTAACAGGGAAAGAATACAAAGTATGTATTACCTTTAGCCTTGATCTTTTTGTCCTCTCTAAGTCTTTTTAACTCTGTCCTATAGTATGATTTTGACATGCTTAGACATAGTCGTAATAATTTTGTGTAACTGTCTGCAATGTGGCACAGGTCTATCCATATTCCAGTCTGAAAAAAAACAAGGTGGGTCTTATTAATAGAACAAGATGAAAATATAAGTGTAATGTTATATATAGTTGTGTTTTGACAAAATGTTGTAAAAATCTTACAGAATTGTTTCTTTCCTGTATCAATAAATACCGCAGAAGATTCAGAGACTCCATTACCCTTCAAAACAATAAAGACAAAATATGAATATGGAGGGGAGAAAATCAAACAACAAATAAATTGTATTGATTATAGTCAAATTTAGTCCTAAGATATTTCTTTAGCTAAATACAGGGAGTTACACAGAACAGGTGCATATTGTGGTAAAAGCTGGAAAGTTTATCATTTGCATATCAGCAGGATGAAGTAAGGCCTAAGTAATTTATCAGCAGCAGATTATCCAGACGAGGTATGTCAATCACTCAGGTTTTAGTATCATTTTAGGAATGACACAGGATCTGCCTCATAATATTGGACTGCTCACCATCTGTTCTGTATTGTGGGATCATGGCAGTAAACCTGGACTACACTCATTAATAAATTATGGTTAGGGATGGATTGTATCTTGTTAGTAGGAGATCTAACATTTAAAATAGAGACAGCTACCATATGTAGAGTCTGTACTTGGGTTACGATTCATGTCAATGATTTGTTGATATAAAAGTTGATTAGATGCATCAAGATGCAGTTCTGAGCATTTAGTGGCTCGTCAGGCGATTGTTTTCCTTTAAACTTTTTGTAAAAATACAGGTTTTCTTCACCTGTCCATTCCATGTAGCAAGTCGGTTTCATGGCCCTGTGGGAGAATGATAGTGTCTCTGAGCAGTGAGATGAGCGGAGTCTCCTCAAACCAGCTGTCTTCGTAGGCTGACTTTAATAGAAAAAGAGAAAATATACCTAACATCAGTGATTCAGTGTTGATGAAAATCCTGTCACTTGGACAAGCAGACAGATAAGCAGCATGTGATTCATAAATTTAAGACATCTGATTGTTTTGTGCACTACCTTTCTGTACCGTTCCACTTGATTCTTTATGTTTTTGATGATGATACTTTCTACACCTGCATGATGGCTAGTCTTCATGATACGTCTTAGAGCATTTACAAAGGAGAAATAAGCAATTTATACCCAGACTAAAATGTTCTACTTTTTATATTTATGTAAACCAGAATATTACATTCAAATATTGATAGCAGTTTTACTTAAATATATATTTAAACTTTCTAGATACCATACCTGAAAAATGTGTGCTTCGCTTCACCATTAAGCTTCTCTATAAAAAGCTGGAACACCACAAGGCTTTTTCCTCTCTGAATGAAAGAGAATACGTTTCAGTTTCAAATGAAAAAAAAAAAAAAAAAAACTTTCATTCACACTGATCAGATTTACTTGTAAAAGCAAGTTGTGTCTCATCCATACTTACCAAATGCTGGATAGGACATTCAATCATAATTGTAATTAAGTTCTGTGAACAAATAACAAAAGTTGTCTTGTAAATTAGCACTGTCATTAAAAAAGTAAACATTTTTGTTTTTACCAAGGATGCCCCAATTATTAAAATTCTGGGAATAATTCTACCGATAAGTTAAAACCAAATCTAATATCAGCTGATAACTGATATGGAACCAATATACAGTATTGTGCATCCATAGATTTCACCACCAAAAAATTAATGTATGTTTTAAAAAGCAGGTGATGATTTATTTCTTTATTCCATAACAATACATAGCATTGCTGCATACCTTTGGAACCTCATGAAATGGTTTCAGATCTAAGAGCTCCACTGGAAGACTGCAGTCTGTTACTCTTTCCAAACTTTTAACGTGTAAGTCCTAAAAAATGCAAGACATTTGATAGCAAATGACTACTCATTACTGAAAATTTAAGCATGTACATAGTTTTCTGTACTTGTAATAAATGTTTTGATGAAGGTTTACCAGTCTTTTCAATATCCATGATTCATCCTTTCTGTATAGGGTAAAAAGCAGGAAGGAAAGTCAGACTAAATACATGGTACACTATTTTCATATTTTTATTTATTATTTTTTACACACCTACTTAAAAGAAGATTGATGTATTCCATATTACACTGCAGGATGAAAACAGGGCTGAAATAAAAAATAAAATTTAACATTTATGTTAGAGCGCATGTACATTTAAAGTGTAGCAGTTGCATAAACTGCTTTCATAGAGACATTGCTATTGTGTACCACAAATTGAAAAAATGGTGCCAAATCTATCAGAAAGCTTTTGAGCACAAAACAAGATTCTCAACTCGGCAAGCGAAGGGGATTTTTAACCCCTTTTGAAAGCCCAAGAGATCTGTGGCCTTAACAGCTCACACTGTCTTTGAGTCTGATAAACATATGGTGAGATGAGAAAAAAACAAAACACATTTTTATAGTCTTGAGGTCTAACTGCAACTTACCAAAAAACTGTAGGAAACACTTCTATGGCAATAAGCTAGACAAAAAGCAAGTAAGCAATGCAAGCTCTTGATTCATTTCGATGACAAGCATCTTTCTCCGAAATGGTGTATTCTTTTCCTCTCAAAGGATTGTAGAACAGGATTTTTGGCAGAGATTCTTGTATCACTGCTAGGATTGCCTAGTATTAGAAGCACAGAAACACTCAGAAGTCAGGTCATCCTTTTTCTAAAAGTACCATGCCTAAGCCTAATAGTAACAACAAAGTTAGTGATATCATTACCATTATTTCTGTGGCAAAATTCCACAAGGGTGAAATTTCTGTCATGTTCGCCTCTCTGTCCAGCTGAACATGGAGGAGAGGTTCCCTTAGACTCGCCATGCAACTGAGCCATTACAGAAAGAAGGGAAAATTTGAAGAATTAGGTAAAATACTGGTTAAGATCACGTGCATATAATCAACAAAGGGTTACATATTTCTCAACATTGTCACTTAAATGACTGCTAATTTTCAAAATGTTGACTGACATCAGACTCTGACAATCGGTTATTTTTCACTTAAGACAACCCATCATATCTTCACTGATGGTTTATAAAAACTGTTTCTCTTGCTTAGAACAAAACTGAACATTGTCTAAATCCCATAATTTGTATTATTTTTTAGATGTTTTAAGACTTTTTCAGACTTGCGGTAACCGATCATATTTTCATTAATACTTTTTGAGAATTGCTTGCTTGCGCTTTAAACAAAATGAATAGAACAAATTCTAATAGAAAAAACTTACCAAATGCTTGATAAGACAGTCAATCATAATTGTAATTAAGTTCTGTGAACAAATAACAAAAGTTGTCTTGTAAATTAGCACTGTCATTAAAAAAGTAAACATTTTTGTTTTTACCAAGGATGCCCCAATTATTAAAATTATGGGAATAATTCTACCGATAAGTTAAAACTGGCTGCAATATAACAAAGAGTGAAAAATTTAAGGGGGTCTGAATACTTTCCGTACCCACTGTACTTTCAGCTGATAACTGATATGGAACCAATATATTGTGCATCCTTAGATTTCACCACCAAAAAATGTATGTATGTTTTAAAAAGCAGGATATGTTTTATTTCTTTATTCCATAAAAAATACATAGCATTGCTGCATACTTTTGGAACCTCATGAAATGGTTTCAGATCTAAGAGCTCCACTGGAAGACTGCAGTCTGTTACTCTTTCCAAACTTTTAACGTGTAAGTCCTAAAATGGTAAAGCACTATGGCATTGGAGACATAACAGTGTGAGACATGTGGGGGCGTGTTTAAATGAGGCGTTTTAGGAGGGTGTGGACGAGTCTTAACTTTTATAAAAAATATCTCTTTGGGTTTGAGACTTTAGTCTTTGCAACTTTAGGGATCTTATCTATTCACGAACAGCTTGTATCACTCCAAAGAGAAAGGAAAACTTGAAATCACATCATATGACCCCTTTAAAACTGTTTGAAACAATGTGTATTGTAAAAGCACTATACAAATCAATTTGATTTGTACTTCGAATTGGATCAATGTCTCATTGACTGCATTAGTAAGAACAGGTTTAAAAACATACAACTTTAGAAGAGCAGCTCTTGGTTTGGTGGCCACTGAGTTTGTGTCTTGATTCTTGACTTCCTGCACAAAGGGTTGTACAAAGGTCAGTACTGCAGTGCAGCTTCGACAGAGCCCATACACATCTTCCTGTTCCTGTTTGTGTGAGTAAGGTACAGGCAGCTTTGAAATCTGTTTCTGCAGAGAACCAAGGGCCAAAGCCAATCCACGGGCCTTCGACTCACTCATTCTCAACACCACTGGGTGGGGAACAAACAGAAAATGTGTTATTACTAGCAGTGTAGAGGGAGCCCTGTTTATTTTTGGCTTGTATTTTTAAATTGAAAAACAGTTTTTAAATGGGTTTGCAGGATGCATCAGGATTATGGCTTTAGCTGTTCTGAGGTTCTTTTCCTCAGCAGTTGTTCTGTTACCTGACTGAATAAGAGGTATAAGAACAATGATGGAGTCTGCGATGGAGTCTCCCATAGACCTCACTATGTGCTTGGAAGACATTTATATATTTACATTTTTTACATTTAATGGTACATTTGACTGTACTGTACATATTTATTAAAATGTGTAGTAAATCCATTATTTAATCCATGTTGGCCTATATTTTTTATATATCTTCTGCACATGCTTGAAATGAAATTATTTACAATCATGATCGTGACAATTTAGCATTTGATGGACACTGGCTGTGTATTTTGAAATGAGTTATCTGAAAATTTAGTCTTTATTTGGTGCATTTAGTTTCTGCTTTAAAACGTGCCATGCATGTTCCTTAGTGTGTGCTACATGTGTGGAAGAGCGGAGCAGTGCAAGAAATTGGTAAATCAACAGCACTTAATGGAGTGCTGGTCCTTAGAGGGCTTCCAGTGGAGCAAAAAAAATCTGACTGGTTCTCCGCTAAACTGCATTCCCACACCCAAGGGTCAAGGGGCCAGTCAGTTAGGCAGAATGACAAAGTGGCGGTTTAGCAGAGGTACAGCCCATCAAATTCTCCCAATCCCAGTGGATTGATGTCATAAATATGAGCCTGGGATGGGATATGAGCCTGAATGTTGTGGCACCTGTCTCTCAGAAACCTGAAATTTAAAAGCTTAAAAGATTAACTAATCTTATTAGTTAACCTTGCTTTAAAAAAAAAAACATGCAAACCGGTTGCCTTAAAAAAAAATTAAGTAAAAACACTTTTTTTGTTTCAATAACTAATTCATTTTAATTCAAGTTAAATATACTAGGTACATACCAATAAACTCCATTGTGTTTACTTGTTAAAACCATGCAAACTGATTGCCTTAGTTTTACCAAATAAGTATTACTTTAATAAATTAAGTGTTTCAGTTGTGCTTCAAAAATTCTAAAACCCTTTTAAAACCAAAAATAACAAAACATTAAACACTAAAACAGGGGTTCTCAGCTCTGGCCCTCAAGGTCTACTTTCATGCAGTGTATAGCTCCAACCCTAATCAAACACACCTGAACAAGCTAATCAAGGGCTTCAGGATTGCTAGAAAGATACAGACAGGTGAGTTTGATTAAAGTAGGAGCTACACTCTGCAGGAAAAAGTACCCAAATTATGCGCAAATTATCCGTATTCAGTTAACCAGGTCTCGTCACTTCCGGTTCAAGCGTTTTGCATATGCTTCGTTAAATATGAAGCTGTTTTACTCAAGATGCCTTCAAAGTAGATACCAATGATGATCATAACCACGTATGCGGACTGATATCTAAAAGTTTTTTTTTTTTTATTCTTTTCACTAACATTTAGATATAAAAATTGAATAAAATGTCAACAATAAAAATATCTAGCTAGTTTAACTGATTATCTTAAAAGTCCATAGATATCGCTATTATTTAATACGGCTGTTAACACGTTCTCCAACAAGCGATGAGACCTGTTTTCCGGGTTTGGTCATGGTGACGTTCGACATATACCCTATTCGATCTCGAGGGCCAGAGTTGAGAACCTTTGCACTAACAGATCTTCCCCATCTTAATCTTGTGCAAAAACGCATAAAATAACACTTAATTTCAACATTTATTCCTAAAGTCTGAAGCAAAGCATGCTGGGAACAAGAAATTATCTTGACATAATGGTACTCGAACAAATCAATTTATCTTAACTATGGTTTTCTGAGTAACAAAGGCATAGTGCACAAATAGTACAGATAACTAGATTTTTACATTTAAAATAAATAAATTGTTGTACATTACGTAAAGTCAACTAAAAAGTGTTAGTTAGGATGAGAAATGGATAATAAATATTTTGCAATAATTTCCAGTACAATAAGATCTTAAACAGGTTTTAAAAGCATATGTCAATGCTTCAAGATTTACCTGATTGGCCTCCTCTTTTATGAAGTCCAGGAGTTGAGTGCAATCATCTTGGGCAACGCATGTATGACCAGCATTCAGAAAGAGCTTATGGTCCTCTGGTTTAAAGACTTCAGTTGTTCTCTGAAAACGTGGACAGAGTCTTTGTCAAATATTTTATTCACCAAAAAAATTATCATACTGTAAATCTTGCACAAAGTGAAAACAATTCACAGCATACCTTGTGGTTATGCCCTTTACAGTCATTATCATAATGCATAATAAATTACACATATCATATGTATGCTTAACTTGATGTAAATACAAGCACAAATTTTATTACAAATACATATTGTAGTAAAAAAAATTGCAACCAAATATGATGTTTAATTTTCTGTTTCCTTACCCATCTTTGAACCACACCCTCTAGTTGATTCGCTGCCATTTTCAGAGCTGGTCTTTTAAAAAAATAATCCATACAAATTACACTTCAAGGTCAGGATTATAATCGAGACTTCTCTGCTCGGGATCTGAATGACATCTGCGTTAAAATTTCAGCATAAAAGAATAGAGTAGCTAGGTTTAAAACACAGGTCAGAGTGTTTGAAAAGAATCGAGCAAGAGGCAATCTGACAGGGGACCCTTGTAAACCTCTTAGTAAGCACTGCAGCTGAGTGTCTGCTAATAGGATTAAGACAGAGCAATCTGAAATAGATGGGACAAGAAAGAACTCTCTCGAATGCCCTGGAAAACAGTCATGGGTGTTTTAATTATACTGCAGTCAGTTAATATTGACTTTAAATTCTGTTTGTTCAACTGACTTTTAAAGGCACCGTTTAAGTATAATTAATGAAACACTTCGCTGTCACTATATGTGACTGATTGGTAGGATCCTACAGAAGACCACGTTGACTCACAATAACCCCCTCAAATTAGTCCTGACATCATTTAAACATGTCATGGAAATACTGAAAGCGCATCAGAAATTGCTTAGTAATATTTGGCAAGCATGTGTGTACTGTCCCTTAGTTCAATCCCTATTAAGTCCAGTATTGCTCCAGTGGACATGTAATCTGATATGAGCCATGTCTTTGACTTCCAGGGATAACTATTGTAGACCCTGATTTCAGGTGTATGGAGACAAACCAGGTTTGAGCAATAGGATTTAAGCAGCAGCTGCGAAGTTTGCTCTGTCTATTACAGTGTGGTGAAAGGCTTTAACAAAAGGCACAATGTAATTATAACAGGAAAGGACAGGCTGGTTGCATGTTAGCTTCAGATTTGCCCATGGCTAATTGAAGACTGCTGATTTAGTGTTTTGACAGTGAACAGACTGCGTGTAATGAAAGTCGAGCTCAAAAAAATTTAAAAAAAAGATCTCTCACTGTATGTTGACAGACAAACAGGTTTGTTGGTTTTGTGCGATCAGCCCACGTCCTTTTGGACTCATTGTATGTTCACAAGGTGTTGCAAAGGGAATTTGAATTATTTAAGTAAAAACTGTAATAAAAAAATGACCCCGGCAATGGATATCTTTGGGAGCTATTTCTTTCTATTTTGAGCTTTTTTCTGATGTTTTTTGGTGTAACCTCATGTCACCATATTGATTCTGTTATATTAAATAATATTTATGAAAATAAACATCAGTGATAGGTTGGCTTTGGATTCAGTCTAAATGGTATATAATTATGTGATATATACTGCGGCCTTGGCAGAAGTAAGATGACGTTTCTGTACTTTTATTGGTGATACTTTTGACTTCTCAGTTGGAATATTTTTGCATAAGTTGTCCTAAATTCACATGACGCCTCTTTTATGCAGAATTTCTTTGAGTGTATGTGTGTAATAGGCCTGTCTCAGCTCACTACTATCATATATCCATTTATTTTTAATAGGGAACAGCAACAGGACAACAAAAGTGTAACCTGATTACCTGACGGACACATCAGCTTTTCAGGCTTTGACTTCTCGGTGGAATTTAGCAAAGAGGAATGAGGCATTATATTATCTTTAATAGTAATATTAAAGTTACTTTAATAGTAAGTAATATAATAAGTGTATTTCAGTTTAATATACTTCAGACATACTATGCTTTTTTGCACTCAATTGTTGTTGTTTTTTCATATTGCATGTTGACAGGAATGTTTACTCCATCACTCTCTTGCCTATTTCTTGGCAATAGAGTGGCCCCGAAGGCCCCTAGAGGCAATGTCTAGAGCTGATGGTGTCTGCCAGTATCCCTCCGAGCATGTCAAGAAAAACTGTGCTGTTTAGGGGTCACTCCCTAGAGTCTGTGCCTTAGCTTTCACTGCCTTGCCTACAGATGGACTTCTGTGTTTGATTTGAAACAGTGCACTTTATATGGACATGGCTCAGATTTTCCCTTTCCCATGATTTAGTAACTGCGGGGAGGATTAAAAAACGGAATAATAAATATTGTGATTCACGGAAACTACTCAAGCTATAGCTATAAATCTGACCCCTGCGTGAACCTTTAACATAGAAAGAGGAGGGGTCAGAGTCAAGTGAAATCAGCTAGGCCTTGATGTACTGTATTATAGATAACATTTTACTGTTTTCCCTAAAGTTAACTTAACAATATTTAACAAGTGCAAATAAAAACGTACAGCAATGCGCTCAATCTTCCAGACAGCAGCAGCATCTGTAAAATGTTAGTTCTTCTGACTGTTGTCAGAGTGACTAGGACCATGGGGAGGAGAATACAACAGATCCATACAACTATACAGGTGCTTCTATTGCCGATGCCTGCTTGCCCTTTTGTAAATCGGCATTTTGATGGCAGTTACCTGTGTTGAGTTGTTCCAAATCAATACGTGCAGTGTGGGAAGCTTAATTGACAAGGATAACACTGGCCCCTTTTCTAAAGGAGAGACACCCTGTCTGGCTTTGATCAATACCACGCTCACCAGCACGGCTGAGTCCACTTGTGTGCTTGGGTACCCTGTGCCTTCATCTCTGTAGGCAACCCCCAATGGCAAAAGAGGCTGGGATGTTACATGTGAACCGGCTGTCAAAGCAATTTTGTCAGTCTGCTCATTCTCTGGTGTTTAGAGATGCTGACACACTGTGTACTGGTTCCCATGATTTTATTGAGGTGATGGAAGCTTTTAGGCATTTTTTTCCTCTCTCCCCTCCCTCTCTCCTTTTATCCACTAGTACAGGTACAAGTGTTTTAATTTGTATTCCTCCTGCCAAAAACGTCTCCGGGGCACCTTGGTTGCCTGTCATTTAGGTCAAAAGATCAGTTTTATTTGTTTATTTGTTTGTTTGTTTATTAGTTTAACTTTAAATCAACAGCATAATTTATGTAGTGTAAATCCAGGTGACAATTTTTATTAACACTTATTGAGCTTTTCCTTTTATGAAAATTTTCAAGCTGTATGATTTTGGTCTTTTGTCAAATATTTGGGCCCAAATCTTTGACCACAACAGACAGAAAATATTTTTATGAAAGCCTGTTTCCAAAAATAAAATAAAAAATAAAAAAACACTATTGCAACTTTACACTTAACACTATTGCAAAAAACTTGAAATCGCATCATATGACCCCTTTAAAGGTTCTTTATGGAACCATTTAGACAAAAAGGTGCTTCTATGGCACCTTTATTTTTAAGAGTGTTTCTCACTATTTGTTTTTTATTATTATATATAATGTAATTATATTTCTATCTATTTTATTTATTGAAATTGTGACTTTATTTCTTTCAATTGTTATTTTATATCCCACAATTGTGACATATCTCTGTATCTCACAATATCAATATTATAATAATAAATCTTGCAATGTGACTATCTTGCCATTCTGAGTTCATATCTTGCAATTGTGGTTTTACATGTCACAATTGAAACTTTATTTCTAATAACTCTAATAACAATAAATAACTTTTATTGTGACTTTATATCTCAAAATATAACTTTAAATCCTGCAATGTGACTATATCTTGCAGTTTGAACTTTATAAAAGTAACTTTATATCTCGCAGAGTAACTTTATATCTCAGTTATTTTATACCTCACAATTGCAACTTTATTTCTCATAAAATCAGCTTTAAATCTTATAATTGTAACTATATTTCAGTGTGACTTCTCTAGCAATGTGAAATTATTTCTTATTTGAAACTATGCCTCACAATGACCGATTTTTCTACTTTGAGGTTTCTTATAACAAAGTAAATGTGATCAGTCAAGTAAATGTGATTTGGAGGTCAGTAGCCGCACCTGCCTCTTCATGCTGTTGTTGTGCAAACATCTATAGCTGGTCTGTGTGGAAAGCAGGTTGGAAAAACTCAAGAGTTAATTTGAGCAGATCAGGTACTGGTTGAGATCATTAATGATTTAGCATACACCAGCGGGAAAACGAGCAGGGCCAGTCTCACCTACCCCTGCAACCCAGATCTTTGTCTTTGTATCGCTGCTCTTTCAGATCGCCTTAGTCTTTTACAGTGAACAGAATCAAAAGGAGTCTCTATTTTGGACCTAAAGATTCTCTCTTTGAAATATTTAATGTGTGACAAATGAATTTTACAGTAATTTGTGTAGTAGCTGCATACGCCCACAGTTGTATTGTGTAACGGTATAGCTTGAGTCAGAACAAATGATTGCTAACTTTAATAATTCCTGTTAAACTTGGTAACAAGGATTTGTTACACTTCAATTCAGTTGAAGTCATTACTTTTTTTGTAGCATGGCATTGGCTCTTGTCTGTTACTGTGTATAATTTTCCCTTTTCTGTTAGCCGTAGGGCCATTATTATTTAATGCAATCACAATGCAATTAGACTGAGTGAGATTTATCCACCAAAGATCATGTTTGACAAAAGGGGGATAATATATTTTTAAATCAAGTGGCTGGTACACAAATGCATGTTGTGTTCGTTTTGATGAAGCTTGCTCTTTTGTTCCTTTCACAGTTCACTGCCCATCAGAGAGTCAACACCAACCACATTCAAACAAGAGCAGAAAAACATCACAGCTGTTCCTACATACACAACTACATGAAACAGTTTTATATATATATATATCTAGTGCTTTTAAACAGTGTAGGAACATATCATCTTGTCTGAGTTAGTGAGCAGACGTGTTGGTGTATTTGTGCACCTAGTGTCAGAATGCGTCTATGTAGGAGGCCGTGCGAGCGCGTGTGCGTGTGCGTGCTGGACCTCTGGGACTTTGGAAGTACTTACCAGCTCACTGCAGACTGCTTGATCTGTTGAGAAGCAGTGCAGTGGTTTGATGGTGCTGCAGAGTGACACATGACTGCACAGACCCCGAACAGACATTAGCACAGGCTTCAGCAAACCTACATCTGAGCCTCAAATCATTCATTAAATCAGAACATCAAAAGGAACTTTACTTGAATGCCTCGACATACATTTTTTATTATTACTGAGAATAAATCTTTTGTCATTTTTCTCACCACCACCACCACCACCACCGTCTCCTGGCTCTTTTTGCACTCTCTCTCTCTCCCTCTCTTAGTCTCTACATATCAGCTTGCCTGCATCCCTCTCTCCTTCTCTCTTCTAGTTTGATACATCCTTTTGCTTGGCTTGGTATTTTGTGAAATGGATCTTATGAATTTTTCAGAGAGGTTCATTGCTTTAGTCAGGCCTGGTTAAGTGGAGGATTGTA